TTCATGGGGTCACAAAGAGTCAGACACGACTTAACAACTGAATGACAACAACAGAGGGAAGGTGCAAGACTAGGGTGGGGGAGATCTGGCTTGAAGATAACACAGATGAAAGGGATCTAGTTATCCTTGTCAGTTACACATAAGCCAGCTGTGTGATACAGGTGCTAAAACAGCAAAACTCTTGATAAGTTTCTATAAGGCCCTGAAGACGTGGTTTTACCAGCAGACCTGGGGACCTCAGGTTGATACGGAGCTGATCAAGTGGTTGATTTCATTGTGTTTGTAGCCGCTGCAGGGGGGGGTTGGTTGATGGGCTTTTTGTTTTGTGGATTTTAATTCTGTAAGCCACCCGGAGTCACCGTGTGTGAGTTGGGCAGCTATATAAATTTGTTTAGAATGAATGAATGCATGCATGCATGCTATCTTGGAGTAGATTAACAGGAGCATAGATCACAGGGAAGAAGGTTTCGGCTAAGCATCAGGAGGGATTTTTTGACTGTGAGCTGACAGCCAGGGGAACAGTCTGCTACACGTAGTGGTGAATTCTCCTTCAACAGAGATGGAGAGATATCTGTCAAAGATGCTATAGTGAATCCTGTGCTGAGAAGGCAGCTGGACTGGAGGATTTCTGTGGATCCTTCCATTTCTCAGATTCATTTTCTGTGTCAGTGCCCTAAACTGTATTGTTGAAATTAAGGAACCTTGGAATAAGCAAATCACTGCTGATTTTGTTCCCTTCCCCTGTTTATTAAAAAATATCTAGATGTCTAGATCTAGACAGATCTGGTAATAATAATTATTTATTTATTACATTTATATACTGCCCGACTCCCAGCAACTCTGGGCGGTTTACAATTGTTAAACTTATTTAAAAACAAAGACCAATACAAAAACACAAAAACAGCACAAGACAAAAGAACAAATACGGCAAAGAACTGCCCCAAACCCAGAGGGGAACAAGGAAAAAATAAAAAAGGGCAACAGTCGTCCCCAAAGGCTTGGGCAGAGCTACATTGTCAGGGCTCTTCAAAACACCAGCAGGCCTTTCAAATTTCTGGAGGAATCTCATTCCAGAGAGTTTGACTCTCAAATCCACCCAGGTTTTGGGGGTCCCTCAGACCCATTCAGATCGTGTTTGCACAAATGTGAAGATCTGTGGGATCAGGTCAGCTTCTCATGGTGCTTTTATGTTCTCAGGTCTGCAGGCTCCCTGGCCCGAGGCCTGGCAGTACGTAAGATGATTTGAGGGAAGCCTTGCTCAAAGGGGGAGAGGAAATAATTCCAGTGGGGGGCAGATAAGGTTGAGGGGTCCCAGCCAGCTCCTACCCTCACTTTGCCCACTGTTTTCCTTTCCAGCCTCCTCTAAACTTTCCCTGCCTATGAAATGGGACAGAGCCCAGCCAGGGCCACCTCCATTCCATTTGTCTCTTCAACCCCCAATGGCTTCTCTGCTCTCCATTCCTTTGGGCCCCCTGGGAGCTGCTTCTTTGCCTCTCAGTCACTCCCTCTTTCCACCCTCTGCTCCTTTTCCTCTTCCATCATTTCTCCCCTTTCTCCCTGATCTTCCTTTCCCCCTCCTTGAGCCCCCCATGAAGGGTCTCATCTTGGTTACTTTCTCCCCTCCCTCCTCCTACCTCTTGGACTTCCTATTTGGGGGTTGCTGGGTCCCAACGGGATACAGGTCCTTTCACCTTAAGCCTTTCCTTGTCCCTTCCAGGCTCCTCCTCACACTCTCTGAAGTATTTCTACACTGTCGTGTCAGACCCCAATCAGGGGCTAACCCAGTTTTTCCGAGTGAACTACGTGGATGAGCAGCCCGTCACGCACTATGACAGCAACACCAGGAAATTACAGCCTCGAATCCCCTGGATCAAGGAGGTGCAGAAGGAGGACCCCCAGTACTTGGCCTGGACAACCAGGAGGGTCCGCGGCCATGAGGTGGCATTCAAAGCAGACTTGGAGACCACAAGGAATCGCTACAATCACAGCAAGGGTGAGTGATGGGTAGTGGAGTGGAATTCCCTGCTCCATGTTAGCAGAGGCCCACAGATGATCCCACCCCCACCCCTGGGATTTGAGTTAGTCAAGCAAGGAAATGGAGGAACCTAAGCTGCCAACCTGGGCTTTTTCTTTTAATGCTAATGGTGAAGTGGGGTGCCTGTTTCTTCCTCTTGAAAGATTTAGGGGGCAGTGTTCAGAAATGGAGGCCTCACTGCATGAGCTCCACTAGCCACCAGTTGCTTTCCGGATGCAATTCAAGGTGCTAGTTATCACTTTTAAAGCCCTACATGGCACACGGCCAGATTATTTGCAAGACCACCTCTCCCTGAGGGTATCTGCTAGGGTTCGGTAGGGTGGGCATGCTCCAGGTCCCCTCCCTTAAATGTTGCCATCTAATGGGACCTCAGAGGGACACCTTCTCAGTAACCACCTCAGCCCTTTGGAATAGCCTTTCACCTGAGATCCAAGGGATCCCTACCCTTTTAGCCTTCCAGAAGGCTGTGAAGACCTGGTTCTTTCCCCAAGAGTTGGGCTAGGATGGGGATTTTGCTGGGAGGTTGTTTGGTCTGGCACTTGGTGGGGAAAGGCGATTTTGTTTTTAATCTCTGTTTTTGTTGATTGTTGTGAGCTGCCTAGGATCGTTATACGATATAGGCCGCCATATAAATTCTATAAATAAATAAAGAGCAGCCATATAAATTCTGTCAACAAACAAACAAGCAAATAAGGCGGCCTGGTTCCTGAGAGAGCCCAGGTGTCAGGTTCGGTCAGCACGAGGCTCCAGGGAAGCACGGGGCTGCAGGGAAGCTCGCAGCCAGACCACGCGGAATCCACCGGCGGTA